ACAGGTGAGAGAGAGACAGGTGAGAGACAGACAGGTGAGAGACAGACAGGTGAGAGGACAGACAGGTGAGGAGACAGGTGAGAGACAGACAGGTGAGAGGACAGACAGGTGAGAGAAGGGACAGGTGAGAGGAGAGACAGGTGAGAGACAGACAGGTGAGAGACAGACAGGTGAGAGAGAGACAGGTGAGAGAGAGACATGTGAGAGAGAGACATGTGAGAGAGAGACAGGTGAGAGAGCAGACAGGTGAGAGACAGACAGGTGAGAGGACAGACAGGTGAGAGAAGGACAGGTGAGAGAGCAGGTGAGAGACAGACAGGTGAGAGAGAGACATGTGAGAGAGGAGAGACAGGTGAGAGACAGACAGGTGAGAGACAGACAGGTGAGAGACAGACAGGTGAGAGACAGACAGGTGAGAGACAGACAGGTGAGAGAGACAGGTGAGAGACAGACAGGTGAGAGACAGACAGGTGAGAGACAGACAGGTGAGAGAGAGACAGGTGAGAGAGAGACAGGTGAGAGACAGACAGGTGAGAGACAGACAGGTGAGAGACAGACAGGTGAGAGACAGACAGGTGAGAGACAGGTGAGAGAGAGGTGAGAGACAGGTGAGAGACAGGTGAGAGACAGGTGAGAGACAGGTGAGAGACAGACAGGTGAGAGAGAGACAGGTGAGAGACAGACAGGTGAGAGACAGACAGGTGAGAGAGAGACAGGTGAGAGACAGACAGGCGAGAGAGAGAGACAGGTGAGAGACAGACAGGTGAGAGAGAGACAGGTGAGAGACAGACAGGCGAGAGAGAGACAGGTGAGAGAGAGACAGGTGAGAGACACACAGACGAGAGAGAGACAGGTGAGAGAGAGACAGGCGAGAGAGAGAGACAGGTGAGAGACAGACAGGTGAGAGACAGACAGGTGAGAGACAGACAGGTGAGAGAGAGACAGGTGAGAGACAGACAGGTGAGAGACAGACAGGTGAGAGACAGGTGAGAGACAGACAGGTGAGAGACAGACAGGTGAGAGAGAGACAGGTGAGAGAGAGACAGGTGAGAGAGAGACAGGTGAGAGAGAGACAGGTGAGAGAGAGACAGACGAGAGAGAGACAGACCGGTGAGAGACAGACAGGTGAGAGACACACAGGTGAGAGAGGAGACAGGTGAGAGAGAGACAGGTGAGAGAGAGACAGGTGAGAGAGAGACAGGTGAGAGAGAGACAGACGAGAGAGAGACAGACGAGAGAGAGACAGACGAGAGAGAGACAGACAGGTGAAATAAATCAGTTTTTAAAAACAAGCAGGTGTGTGTGTGTGTGTGTGTGTGTGTGTGTGTGTGTGTGTGTGTGTCAGTGTGTGTGTCAGTGTGTGTGTGTGTCAGTGTGTGTGTGTGTCAGTGTGTGTGTGTGTGTCAGTGTGTGTGTGTGTGTGTGTGTGTCAGTGTGTGTGTGTGTGTGTGTGTCAGTGTGTGTATGTGTGTGTGTGTCAGTGTGTGTGTGTGTGTGTCAGTGTGTGTGTGTGTGTGTGTGTGTGTGTGTGTGTGTGTGTGTGTGTGTGTGTGTGTGTGTGTGTGTGTGTGTCAGTGTGTGTGTGTGTGTGTGTGTGTGTGTGTGTGTGTCAGTGTGTGTGTGTGTGCTCACCCTTGGCAGTGTACAGGTCTACCTCCACTGTGGGGTTTCCCCTGGAGTCCAGGATCTCACGGGCGTGAATCTTAGTGATAGACATCCTGACTGAGAGAGAGACAGGTGAGAGAGAGACAGGTGAGAGACACACAGGTGAGACACACACAGGTGAGAGACACACAGGTGAGAGACAGACGGGTAAAATAAATGGGTGACCTTGAGTAAAAAGAAGAAATTCAACCAATAATAACTCTAAGGTCAAACTGCTATATTATTATAAGTGTGTGTGTGTGTGTGTGTGTGTGTGTGTGTGTGTGTGTGTGTGTGTGTGTGTGTGTGTGTGTGTGTGTGTGTGTGTGTGTGTGTGTGTGTGTGTGTGTGTGTGTGTGTGTGTGTGTGTGTGTGTGTGTGCGTGCGTGCGTGCGTGCGTGCGTGCGTGTGTGTGTGTGTGTGTGTGTGTGACCTGCTGCAGAGATCCTGTGTAAAGCCATTCTGACTCCATGCTAGCAGCAGCAGGACTCTGAACCCTATTAAGCTTCGCCCATATCTCTCTCTCAGCCAATCACAGAGCACCAATAGGAGAGAGGGAGAGACCATTGTGGGGAGAAAAAGAGGGGGGAAGTGGATATCTACCTAACAGACATCACCAGGAAACCCCCACACTTTTACTGACATTAACACAGCTGTTTATATATATATATATTATATGTTTGAATATGCTAATGAGGCTAACGCTAACATTTGGTGACTTTAGGAGAAATGTAGGGACTAAAAGAGAGTGACCTCCTGGATGTGTCTTTCCTCCAGTCTGATATATAAGATGTGCTTTAATGAGAGAGAGATCCCCCGATCATCCTCTGAGTTATTATTAAGACTGTCAGTGTGTGTTTGACCTTCTGCCGGACCTTTCAGCAGAGGTCATGACTCCCTCCCTGTTATAGAGTTACACACACACACACACACACACACACACACACACACACACACACACACACACACACACACACACACACACACACACACACACACACACACACACACACACACACACACACACACACACACACACACACACACACACACACACACACACACACACACACACACAGTGACATTTAAAGAGGTATGTGTGGCTGTGAGATGATATGAGCTCTCTGATAAGTGAGGCACGTCTGATGGAGCACATATTATCCTGATACATTATGTAATAGTACAATATTAACCATTTGAATGAAGTACATAGTTTGAAACAGGCGTTTGAGCTGCAGTGAGGTCACTAATGGGGGGGGGGGGGGGGCACACTGCAGCTCAAACAACAGAGGGTCATTTATTCATATTAACAATTTTCTCATAAACATTGTCGGAATAATCTGATTTTTCAAAGTAAAGTTCTAGAATTCGATCTAACAAAAGTGTGTGTGCAGTAATGTCTTTATAAAGGCCACACACACACACACACACACACACACACACACACACACACACACACACACACACACACACACACACACACACACACACACACACACACACACACACACACACACACACACACACACACACACACACACACACACACACACACACACCTTCCCCCTAAATGTAATAATTTACATTACGGGGCCATTGTGTCCATAAACAATAAGTGAGACCCCACAATACACCGAAACAAGAACACACCTACACACACCACTAGCTTTCACTGCTAATAAGTACTGCTAATACTCCTGGTACTGTTACTAGTGCTTCTAAATACTTCTGATACTGTTACAAGTACTGCCTAATACTCCTGGTACTGTTAATAGTGCTTCTAAATACTTCTGATACTGTTACAAGTACTGCCTAATACTTCTGGTACTGTTAGTAGTACTGATAAATACTTTGGATATTGATACAAGTACTGCTAAATACTTATGTACAGATACAAATACTGCTAAATACCCCTTATACTGACACTATTACTACTCAATACTTCTGATACAGATACTAGTAATCGTTATTTTTCCTGGTACGGATACTAGTAGGCCTACTGCTAAATACTCCTGGTACGGATACTAGTACTGCTAAATACTCCTGGTACCAATACTAGTACGGATACTAGTACTGCTAAATACTCCTGGTACGGATACTAGTACTGCTTAATACTCATGTTACCGATACTAGTACTGCTAAATACTTCTGATACGGATACTAGTAATTGTTATTTCTCCTGGTACGGATACTAGTACTGCTAAATACTTCTAGTATACATACAAGTACTGCTAAATACTCCTGGTACGGATACTAGTACTGGATACTAGAGTACTGCTAAATACTCCTGGTACGGAAACTAGTACTGCTAAATAGTCCTGGTACGGATATTAGTACTGCTAAATAGTCCTGGTACGGATACTAGTACTGCTAAATACTCCTGGTACGGATACTACAGTACTGCTAAATACTCCTAGTACGGAAACTAGTACTGCTAAATAGTCCTGGTACGGATACTAGTATTGCTAAATACTCCTGGTACGGATACTAGTACTGCTAAATACTCCTGGTACGGATAATAGTACTGCTAAATACTCCTAGTACGGATACTAGAGTACTGCTAAATACTCCTGGTACGGAAACTAGTACTGCTAAATACTCCTGGTACGGATACTAGTACTGCTAAATACTCCTGGTACGGATACTAGAGTACTGCTAAATACTCCTGGTATGGATACTAGTACTAGCAGCTAATGCTAAAGCTATTGTTTACAATGCCACTTTGTCTCTGGACTTTGTCTCTGTCTCGTTGTTATTTGACCTTGCGTAGCGTCTGAAGGTCGAAGTCCTCTCAGTGTTTTTGTGTCTCAGATAAAGAGCGACACTGAGATAAGAGGAAGCCAAAGGCGCGTCTAAAATAAAATCACATGTTTAACGCAGAGCGACAAACGTCCTCTAAACTCTGCAAACTACAGACGGTTTTCAAAATAAAAGCTTCTGGTTTTTACCAAAGAGTGCACTGACCTGGTTGAGAGAAGCGTCCGCCTGTCTGTCTGTCTGACTGACTGTCTGTCCTCTGACTGGAAAGTGTCTGTCTGTCAGCTGCAGGGCTTTTATAGACCTCCTCCTGTACCCCCCCCCCCCTCCCCCTCCAGGGAGCGTCTGCATGTTCCTCCAGAAAGACACACACACTCACACACACACACACACACACACACACACACACACACACACACACACACACACACACACACACACACACACACACACACACACACACACACACACACACACACACACACACACACACACACACACACACACACCTAACCCTAACCCAGGTTCTCGTTGCACATTAATAACTCACTTCTAACCAACCTCTTGTTTTAAATTGTACACATTCTTTAGGAACACATTGTTGTTTAATGTTCAGTTATATTTAGTAACTGTCCATATGTGTGAAAGTATTTCTTCATATTTGTAATGTATTTTTCTTGTCGTGAATATTTAAGTTTCTGGAACACATTTCATATTCTTTTATTTTAGGATTTGTTTTCTTTTGTTTTGTCATTTTAGTCTATATTTGTGTTTCTTGTACATGCCTTTGTTTTAGCATTGTTTATGTAATATCCTACACACTGTGTTCTTCTGTGTGGTTTGCACTTTAGTGACGGCCCCTAACTCTGACAGAAGGTCAAAGTTCATGTGAAGGGGAAATGTGAGACCGGCTCAGCATTCATTCAAAAGGCCTTAACCCGAGAGACACACACACACACACACACACACACACACACAAACACACACACACACACACACACACACACACACACACACACACACACACACACACACACACACACACACACACACCACACACACACACACACACTCTTACCCTTTACACTCACCTTTAGCAGTCCGGTGCCCTTGTAGCCTTTAACTGCAGCTAAATATAAAACACGACTGCAGATGAAATGTTTTTTAATTCAACTGGATCTTTATGACGAACATAAACATCTTTATTAAGAAAAAGTAAGTATTTCTGAGACCACATGTAGTTAAATCAATGTGTGAGAAACAGTATCATTACATATCTACAGATGGGAGCATTTGGACCAATCACACCACAGATATATGTCTAAGCCCCGCCCACTTCAGCTCTGGACCAATAGAAAGTCAGACAATGACAAACACAGTAAGCTCATAGAGTGGCGAAGTCACGCCCATCTACTTCCGCCCCATGGGACCTTATTTCGGAAAAATAATGTATTGAAGTCAATGGGGAGAGAAAACGTATCTTTGGATCCCGTTTGAATTGTGCCATGAATTACACATATGATGTTTGTCAATTTAAAAAATCATTTCCAATTAAAAAAAGTCACAGTTTGTCGTAAAACTGTTGAAATATAAGACTATGAAAAATACGCAACTAGAAAGACTACAAATCCCAGAGTCGCGTAAGTGATGTCACAATTGTTTTCCTCCACTAAGAGATAGCTAAGATCAGCGCCATATAGATATAATCTATCTATATGGCGCTGGCTAAGATAAGATAACTTTAACAAGATGCCTGTGTGCTTAGTACCAGGTTGTTATCATACCAGCAATGGGTCTTGCTCGTTCTTTCGCTTCCCGTCTGATGAAAGGACCAGGAGTGGCTTGATCAAGTTAGCTACCTAGCTAGTAGCTAGCACGTTAGTTAGCATTACAGCCGTGTCATTTTTATTAGCCTTAACATGAAGTAACATTAAGTAACCCAAAATGTTAAACAGTAAGAGTAGTAGTCATATTTCGTGAACCCTTTGAATAGTACTGTCACCGGTGTGATCATTCTATAATACACAATTTAAGCCCGGGGGAGAAATGCTAACGCTAACGCTAGCGATCTTCTCTACTTCATGCTATCTGCACAAATGGTTGACATTAAACATTAAAACGACCAGGCAGTTCAGAGAGAATCAAAGGAAGGCAGGCTTTGCATGACTTTCTTCAGCACGTGTTTCATTGTGGTGATAGTGAGGGTAGTCAATCGTTTTGTTGACAAGACAGTAGTGACGGCCATCTTGGTGACGTGTGTTGTTGACCAGAGATGTAGTTCATTGAGCGTTTCACACAAACAAATGTGTTACTTCACAGTTTTACCACACATTTATTTTTTTTGACTTGCAAAATTATCTTTTAAATTGACAAACATCATATGTGTAATTCGTGGCACAATTCAAACGGGATTGAAAGATAATCTTTCTCTCTCCATTGACTTCAATACATAATTTTTCCGAAATAAGGTCCCATGGGGCTCAACCGGAAGGGGAGGGACTTCACCTCTCTATTGATTCACTGACAGTTAAAAGACATGTACGTACGTCAAAGTAAATACACAGAGAACGCAAATACTACGCAGTGAGTAGTAGTAGTATACCATCCATGTAAAAGTATTTTAGTATTATAGTTTTTGAATGTGTGTCAAATATAGATATATAAATACTGCATAGATTAGCAGTACAGTACTGCATTATACCGGCATATTATCAGCATGTACTGTGTTTATATGTACAGAGAACACACACACACACACACACACGCACACACACACACACACACACACACAGAAGTACTCAGATCTTGTACTTTAGTAAAATATAGTAAAGTAGTGATTGTGCAGATTGGTCCATTTTAAAATAAAGGTATTAAATACATGTAGTGGAGTACAAGTACAACATATACAGGATATACACCTGAAATACTCAAGTAAAGTACAAGTAGCTCAAAAGTGTACTTTGGACACACACACACACACACACACACACACACACACACACACACACACACACACACACACACACACACACACACACACACACACACACACACACACACACACACACACACCCACACACACACACACCACACACACACACACACACACCACACCACACACACACAGACAGAAACTCTCGGACTGCTTGTTTTTAAAATAAACATATTTTTATTGATGAGATATTTTCCAGTTGTCTGAGATGGTCACAGTTGTGTGACGGGGTCACAGTTGTGTGACGGGGTCACAGTTGTGTGACGGGGTCACAGTCGTGTGACGGGGTCACAGTTGTGTGACGGGGTAACACTGCTGACAGGCCGTGTGGGAAACACCTCTGAACACTTTGTTTATCCCTGATGGAAGAATTCAAATACTACAGACCTAAAGCTCAGGGTGGACACATTGGGGGGTGGGGGGGGGTGGGGTCTCAATATCCGGCTCCCCGCAGGTAACTCACGATGGTGTAAACCTTGGCGGTCACCTGACCTCCGTTGGCTTCTTTCGTTCCCTTAGCGATGACTACAGCTGTGGAGAGACAGAGAAAAGTGGGTGAGACAGGTCACTCTTTATACAACCAGAAACACACTCATACAGAGCTGTCGTATTTCTGTGGTTGAGCCTGAAGGCAGCAGCTCTCTGGTCCAATGGGATTCCTCCATTTGATTTTTGGATTATTGCACAAACAAACAAACGTTTATGATGTTAACACGTTTAGTTCAGAAGGTAATCTCCACATGTTAACACCACTTTATGATTTCTGAAGTAAGAAGCTAATGTTGGGCTATAAAGGAACAACAGCACCGTTAGCCGGTAATTACCGGACTATGACCGGTAATTACCGGTCATAGTCCGGTAAAATATGCTGAAGACCGGCAAATCTAAATCTCTCCGGTCAAAATGTCCGGTCAAAATAATTTCCCCTTAGCGCAATACCGCATCAGTTGCGCCATTTATGTGACAGACAAGAATAATGTCTAACACGTGGAGAAAGAGATGTATGGGTTGATTGTGCGTTGATCTGTTGGTAATGCCTCGGGGTTCTGGTGGGCATGTAAACTAATGCATAATGCTGCGCTATACTTTGTGGCCTCACCCGGTTGCATAGCGACGCTTATTGTTTAGGTGTCTTTTAAAGCTCCCATGTCATGCTTTTCCGGTTATTACCCGTCCCCTTGTGTGTTATGAAGGTTTTTATGCATGTAAACGGTGTGCAGAGTCAAAACCCTCAAAGTACACCCTGTAGCGAGTAAAACTCTAACACAGAAAATACCTCCCCAAAACGCCTCGTTGGAGATACGTCACTGCCCATTTGATTCTTCCGGGTACCGCCTGATGTCATGCGGTACCCGGAACGAAATGGACCAATCCCGAAGAGCTATGGCCACACCAGCAGCGGCGTGTTCCTCCTCCAGAGGTTCGATGAACCGGCATTTCACAGACGAAAGCTTCCAAAAACATTGCCCAGTTTGAGGCCGGATATGCACAGCTTGTTTGGACCGTTTGGAGCAGGGGAAGATCTGGGTATACAACCTGTAAGTTTGCATTGTTATTTGTGTATTTATCAAACAAGACTGTTTAAATGTGTAAACTGTGTTGGACTGCTAAGCCATTGACACAGTGCTAACTGTGCTAACTAAGTTGCTAGAGTTTCCATATATCAACTCTAATATCAGCAGATGGCCTTGCATACATGTATCTCATAGCAGGAGAATGTCTGCATTCACACACAAAATACCTATTGACAGTATACTGCGGGTGATTTGCCGGTCAGTCGCGAAACGTAATTACATTATAGCTGGCGTAGCGATCTAACACACGGAGCTTGAGCTAGTTTTGGTCAGAAAAACATTTTTGTGATGCTACGTTGCTAGCGTTTAAATATATCAACTACAATGTCAGCAGATGGCCTTACATGTTTGTCATGGCAGGAGAATGTCTGCAGTCACACACACGGAATACTCATACAGTATACTCCGGTTTACCGTACATTGTGACCGTACATATACTGCATGTAGCTAACGAGGCTAGCTGTATGCTAGCGCAAAACAATGTATTCATGCAAGTTACATTGTATGGTAGCAGAATACCCGTATACGATTGCAATTATAAACACGTTATTGCTAGCCTAATATGAACCACTAGCTTTTGTTCATAGTAGTTTTATTACACTGCATTATAGTTGCCTTTCCTCCAAGCTAACGTTCATATCGTGTTAGCTACCAAGGTAAACAAAGCTAGGTTAGCATATTAGCAGGCAAGCTGTTCATTACACAACTACTACTAACGAATCTAAAACAACTAAGTTTCTCTAATATTTTGTGATTTGCATTTGATTTCGTCCAGCCAGATCCTGGCGGACAATCCATGACGGGGAAGGGATTCTACTACTACTGAGGCCTCGTGCTAAAAGGCACCGCACCGCACCGGCTGTGCGCAGGCAAGAGGAGGAGGAATGGATGATATACCGTGTATATATGTATATTTATGTTCATTTTGTACATTTCTAAAAATAAAGTTTAATGGAAATACTTAGTAGGCCTATCCTTTCTTCCCTGAATTCATATATAGCAAACCATGATTTGATTTCTCATCAAACAGTAGTAGTTTATAACGGGTAAAAATAACTTACTCTTTGTTATGAGCGGCTCGTAGGCCACAACGGAAAGACAAGGAGACATACACGAGTTTACAAAACCACGGCACATTTATTGTGGTAAATGCAAAGATAGGTGGTTGAGAGGATCGCAGAGTTAGTCTTCCTGCAGCCGCTTTGGAGAGAGACTGGGGCCGTAGTGTCCGGAGGTGTCCGTGATCGTGCTGATTAGCTTCTTCAGCTCCACCCCATCGTAAGACAAAGGCCCTGGGGCCGTCACACTCTTCTATAACAACAGTTAAAAATATATATGTATATAAAATATACCGCTGTACCGACGCCATGATAAGACTGATGTTACGCTGAGAGCAGCCGGGAAAAGCACTGACATGGGCGCAGCCTCTCTGGTGGTTGACTAATCAGAACGAGTGGCCGAGCTGACCAATCGGAGCACACTAGGCTCACAGGGAGGGGGGGGCAAGAGCTCCAACGAGTCGTTTAGTGGAGAAAGTGAATACTGCTGAATACACATGCTTGACAGAGATGCTGTATGCGAAACCAATGTGAGTTTGGAAAATTGCACAGTATAAATCTATTTTAGTATACCTCAACAATGTAATTATGATCAGTGGAAATGGCCATGACATGGGCCCTTTAATAAGCAGGTAGTCATATCATTAGCTAGAACTAGCTCGATCTGATCGATATGGACATAAACGCGAGTGAAGTCTAATCTGACGGGAGAGAGAGATCAGCTGCTGCTGACGAGTCGACACGCAGCTCTGCATGATCACCTGCAGCGGTGAGCGGAACACACTTCAGGTTAGAATATCACACGTAGCTATTTTAATTACCTCTCAAACTACCTAAACTAGTTATAGATATGTTTAGTTTTACTGTCGGGTCACTCATTACTGGATCCGCGAGCTTCATGATACTGACGGGCTGTCAGGAGAAGGAGAGAGCGCTCCATTTATTATTCCCGCGTTTTTGTAAGTTACTGTACACTTTTGAATAATGTAGTTAATCTACTATAATTAGTTTGTTTAATATCGAATCATATCAATTTGTTTTAAAGCTCAATAAATAACAAAGAAGACCTTTGACCGGAACTTTTCTCATTTTGTCCGGAAGATTTAAACTTTAACGGACATTTTGACCGGCAAAAAACTATTCTAACGGGAACTCTGACGGTCACATGACTTCACGTCACCACCGCTAAGCTAAAGGAGGCTAATGTTGGGCTATAAAGGAACAACAGCACGGTCACATGACTTCACGTCACCACCGCTAAGCTAAAGGTGGCTAATGTTGGGCTATAAAGGAACAACAGCACGGTCACATGACTTCACCACCGCTAAGCTAAAGGAGGCTAATGTTGGGCTATAAAGGAACTACAGCACGGTCACATGACTTCACCACCGCTAAGCTAAAGGAGGCTAATGTTGGGCTATAAAGGAACTACAGCACGGTCACATGACTTCACGTCACCACCGCTAAGCTAAAGGTGGCTAATGTTGGGCTATAAAGGAACTACAGCACGGTCACATGACTTCACGTCACCACCGCTAAGCTAAAGGTGGCTAATGTTGGGCTATAAAGGAACTACAGCACGGTCACATGACTTCACGTCACCACCGCTAAGCTAAAGGTGGCTAATGTTGGGCTATAAAGGAACAACAGCACGGTCACATGACTTCACGTCACCACCGCTAAGCTAAAGGAGGCTAATGTTGGGCTATAAAGGAACTACAGCACGGTCACATGACTTCACGTCACCACCGCTAAGCTAAAGGAGGCTAATGTTGGGCTATAAAGGAACAACAGCACGGTCACATGACTTCAAGTCCCCACCGCTAAGCTAAAGGAGGCTAATGATGGGCTATAAAGGAACTACAGCACGGTCACATGACTTCACGTCACCACCGCTAAGCTAAAGGAGGCTAATGTTGGGCTATAAAGGAACTACAGCACGGTCACATGACTTCACGTCACCACCGCTAAGCTAAAGGTGGCTAATGTTGGGCTATGAAGGAACTACAGCATGGTCACCTGACTTCACGTCACCACCGCTAAGCTAAAGTAGGCTAATATTGGGCTATAAAGGAACTACAGCACGGTCACATGACTTCACGTCACCACCGCTAAGCTAAAGGTGGCTAATGTTGGGCTATAAAGGAACTACAGCACGGTCACATGACTTCACGTCACCACCGCTAAGCTAAAGGTGGCTAATGTTGGGCTATGAAGGAACTACAGCACGGTCACATGACTTCACGTCACCACCGCTAAGCTAAAGGAGGCTAATGTTGGGCTATAAAGGAACAACAGCACGGTCACATGACTTCACGTCACCACCGCTAAGCTAAAGGTGGCTAATGTTGGGCTATAAAGGAACAACAGCACGGTCACATGACTTCACGTCACCACCGCTAAGCTAAAGGAGGCTAATGTTGGGCTATAAAGGAACTACAGCACGGTCACATGACTTCAAGTCCCCACCGCTAAGCTAAAGGAGGCTAATGATGGGCTATAAAGGAACTACGGCACGGTCACATGACTTCACGTCACCACCGCTAAGCTAAAGGAGGCTAATGTTGGGCTATAACGGAACTACAGCACGGTCACATGACTTCACGTCACCCCGCTAAGCTAAAGGAGGCTAATGTTGGGCTATAAAGGAACTACAGCACGGTCACATGACTTCACGTCACCCCGCTAAGCTAAAGGAGGCTAATGTTGGGCGTGATGACCATGGATGTATAATAAGAACTGGATACAGCGTGGGAGGCGGGGCCTCATTCATTCCTATGAGAGTTGCTCATTCGAGCATGATGATAAAATGGCCCAACTTTTGAGAGAGCGAAACGTCACAGATTACCCGGCATGCCTGAGAAGTACCCGTATGTGCGCTCATAGCGCATGCGCAACTTTAACCATGCCCCCCAAAATGCTCATTCACATCAAGCACGTCAATTTGCGTACACATAACAGCACCGCACGTTCATGACAGCATGGTAATGTTTGTTATGATAGATTTGATATTAACGAGGCGGCAGTTAGCAGCTAGCGGTTAGCTAGTAATTATGCTAATTTACACATCAATCGTTATGTACTTTTATATTACGCTGTAACAGGATCTAGTGATATCCAAGCAACAGAGCTTCATTTAGCATGAAAGAATTATTGCACTGTATATATGTATATATGTGTATATATGTATATATGTATATATATGTATATATGTATATATATGTATATATATATACAGTGCAATAAGAAGCTACAGGGACGTTAATCTACGTCGGTAATATTAACTTTATTTAATACAACATTTACGGTACAAGATTTAATCATACAGCCCATGTAGTATAATATTTTACAAATGATGAATTACAGCAAACATGTGCAATATATCCATTATTACAGCTCCGTGGGCTGGCAGTAAGGCGATATGGGTCCGTTCTTATTGTGCATCCATGGGTAAAGATAAACGCATGTAGTGCTGAACACGTAACATGAACGTGCCGGGCGGCGCGGTCCCGTGGGTTAGATGCGCGTTCATAATGCAGAGGGAAATAACTCTCAGAATAACGTTATTAGCACATTTTTACAACTTGAGGAACGAATGTTTTTAATAAGGGCTATACAAGTGTTCATACTGGGTACTTTATTTAGTTCAAAAAAAATTATCCAACGATTTACAGACCACTCTTTCCCCATGTAAGTCAATGGGAAAAAGTGTTTCCGGGCCTGGCAACCAAAAGGAAGTGTAGTACCGCCGTTTGGCCACCACGAATATTTTCATCTGAGTCCGGTGCACTTCCTGGGGGCTTGGTGATGACTCACCTGTAGTAGTCTTGCCCACGCAGATGTTGAAGGTGTTCCCTTCAGCGTCCTTCCGGCTCTTCAGCTGCAGGCAGTAGCTGCTGGGGTCCTCGTACTGGTCTCTGATCATCATGCACTTCATCCCAGCCACGACAGGCCCACTCTGGTGGAAAGTAGACGTGTCGCCAATCAGCTTCTTCACTTCCTCTGCCTGAAAGACAGACAAACAGAGAGGTTATTTTCAGTGGATAACCTCAGATTCATTGATAATCTTTAACCTTAAAGTGTGTCTGCTTTGTTTTGTATATAATATATAATACTGTTTGCTTCTTTGAGTTGTAAATATGTTTGTTGATGTAATCTTAAAAACGTTAATGGAGCTATCAGCAAACATAGCTAACAGCTAACAGAATTAACAGCTAACAGAATAAACAGCTAACGAAGCTAAAAGCTAACAGAATTAACAGCTAACAGATGTAATAGCTAACGGAAGTTGACATCTAAGGAGGCTGACAGCTAACGGAGGTAACAGCTAACAGAGTTAACAGCTAACAGAGGTAACAGCTAACGGAGGTAACAGCTAACAGAGGTAACAGCTAACAGAGGTAACAGCTAACCGAGGTAACAGCTAGCAGAGGTAACAGCTAACAGAGGTAACAGCTAACGGAGGTAACAGCTAACGGAGGTAACAGGTAACAGAGGTAACAGCTAACCGAGGTAACAGCTAGCAGAGGTAACAGCTAACGGAGGTAACAGCTAACGGAGGTAACAGCTAACAGAGGTAACAGCTAACAGAGCTAACAGCTAACGGAGGTAACAGCTAACGGAGGTAACAGCTAACGGAGGTAACAGCTAACGGAGGTAACAGCTAACGGAGGTAACAGGTAACAGAGGTAACAGCTAACCGAGGTAACAGCTAGCAGAGGTAACAGCTAACGGAGGTAACAGCTAACATAGGTAACAGCTAACAGAGCTAACAGCTAACAGAGGTAACATCTAACTTTACACTTTCTGTGTTTTTTTCACAGCCTGTATTTACAATTGGCCGCTTAAATTGAATTTATTTCGAACGTTTTTGTGGAACATTGGCGTCGCCAGTGTTGACATGGATTCCTTTAAACTGGTTAGACTGGTTCCACTGTTGTTAATCACACACTCACACACACACACACACACACAC